GTCACTCCGATTGTAACTTCCGTCTCGCCGAACGAACTGTTTGAGGTAACCTTGCTTGATGAGACGTTCTATCTTCTTTTTGAAATCATTGCAATCCTCCGTCTCGTGCCCGACATCTCGATGGTACAGGCAGTACAGATTAGAATTTCTTCTCTCTTTCTTCCTGCTCATCTTCGGAGGGGCTCATCCAAGCCCATTCTGATCCATTACGGACAGTACACGAGATCGGCTGGTGTTCAAGGGGGTCAATTCGGCTTCCGAGACCGGCTGCTTCCCTTTGGCTATCCTTTCAGAGACGCTCCAACGATCCCGGCCGGGGCTTTGGATACCAACGTTGGGTCCGGTCTCGCCTCTACTTGACTCTCTCCTCCTGGGGTCAGGCTTCGAACGGGCTACCTGGTCTTCCTTCTTCATGTGGTTGAGGTTTTCGGCTTGTATGCCTTTTTCAACCTTTAACCAGAGGTCTTGGAGCGTGCGGGGATATTTCTTATGTATCGCAGTGTTAAACGTCCCGGACACAAGCCCGTTAATGAAGGCGGCTATCATCACCTGTTCATTAGGGTCAGGTATCTGCACGCTTTCGTCTTGAAATCTTTGCACATAAGACCGAAGCGACTCTCCCGGGTTCTGCTGTATGTTCGGCAGATACGTCGAGGTCTTGGTCGTAGGTCTGGAAGAGACAAAACTGTAGAGAAATCTCTCTACCAATTCCCCTAAGGTGGATATGCTCTTAGGTTCTAGACCCCAGAACCATTTTCGAGCAGTCCCCTGCAGGAATACTAGAAAAACCTGACAAATCACAGGGTCGGGGATGCAATATAATCGGAACGCCGAGATGAACGCGTGAAGATGATCTTTTGGATCACCTCGGCCGTCATAGGACGGTATCGTGGGGAGTTTGAAATTTGAAGGGAGCCTCTCCTCGTTGATCTCATCCGTGAAGGGCGGAACCCTCATATAATCCACTCCAGACCTCCCCGGGAGTCGAGGTTCTTCGTCAGCTCGCCTTCCTAGTAAACCCCGTGAGAAGGCCTTGGATAAGGACGCAATTTTAGAAATAGCCTTAAACATGGCTCGCTTCAAGGTGCTCCTAGCCAAACATCTTCCATCAGATGGATGCTCGGGAGATTCATCTGATTTTCTCTTAGAGGACTCGACTTTTTGTTTGCCTTGCCTCTTGAAGTACCTTCCTAATTCCTCAAAGACATTTGGATTTTTTGCCACAAACTCCGCCATCTTGGCCATGGCTTCTTCGTTTGCTGGCTGTCTCTCTGGAGACCCCTGTCCCTCGGCCATGTTCTCTTCTTGGGCCGCAGTGCTCGGCTGAGCCCCAATAGTGAGAACCTTCCTGCTCCTAGAACGCGTGGACTTCATTCTTGGATATTTTCGAGTTCCCACAGACGGCGCCAATTGAAGAGGTGATTTTTGGTTGCTCGGGCTTTACCTCACCTGCTGGAGCTATTCTTAGGTGAGAAATGCAGCTCGCCAGAAGTCACCTGCTCAAGTTTTAAGAAATGCGGGCCTAGATCCCCTGATTCTCCTCCGATGCTCTAGTTAGTTCTTTTAGAGGTGAAGGTAAAGTTATTGAGTTAGAGAAGGAGCCTTATCCCTTCTTTCTGAGGGGTCCTAGAGGTATTTATATAGAGGGGGAGAGGATTGAGAGGATCCCTCCCCCTAGGGACTGTCACGCCTAAACTGTCAGCTTTACTTGACAGATTGGAGGCGGCAATAGGTCCCATCAATCGTTTTGACCTCTGGCAGGTGTCAGACTGTACCTGAACCCGGCCGTCCCATCACCTGACAGGAGCACATGGGTGGAAGACACGTCTTTGACCCCGGCCTTTGGCGGAAGTCATGCCGAGGTGATCCAACACTTCGGGAAGTTCGGTCCCTTCAGCGGTCTTAAGCCGTGGCAGAATCGAGGTGTGCGTATTCACGACGAACCGAAATGACCCTTCTCAACAAGTAAGGACAATTCTTATCTTAGATCACTCAACACATCATAAAATTTGTAAATCAACAAGAAACAAGTGGAGAACCATGTAGTACTAAATAAAACTATAGATATACCGTTAAATAACATATTATCACAAGATTCACAACTACAACTCCTTGCAACGGCCAATATTCTTTCTTGCATTTTCCATGCAAAAAGATCATGTTAAACAATAATGGGAAAGAAGCCAAAACCTGATAAATTGTTTAATATTCTAATATTTGGTTTAAGCTGAAGTGTAACAACTAAGCAACCAAAACCCGAGCTTCGTTGAAATCAATTTACCTCAACCTATCTCGAGTGTTATAATTAGAATGAGTTCTCATTCATACACAATAGAATACATCTAAAAAGGGTTTGGCTGACACTCACTAAGAGCTTTTATTTTATTTTTTCATGAAATATAATTTGGGAAAATATCTGTAGAGAGTGCAATAAATGTACATAATAAATTAGGTATAGTTTAGATATACTAACGAGAATAAGTATGGGAGATTCCTCAGAATATAGCTCTTTCCGAAAAAAAAATCCGTCAAATATGATTATTTGGAATGTGTGTATAAATCTATTCCTCAGACATATTTGATGGGTTTTTTTTTGGAAAGAGCTATATTCTAAGGAATTGCCATCCATCTACCAATTACGGGCATAGAGTTTTTTAAACTAGTGTCTAAGTTTCCACATTCTCAAAGTTGACACCAACGTAGATGATCAATGACTGTTTCCCTCAAAACGGCAATTTATATTTATGATGATGATCAATACAGCAGTAGTAGTTGCACTGAGCAAATGCCCAGAGAAGCTACATAGCCCGTGAACCTTCACAGTGGGATTGAATCCCTCGAGTGAAGCGAGTCAGAGGCGGATAAATCTAGTATTCAGATACTAAAAGTTCTGGAAAATATTATTATTTTAAATAAAAGATGGACTTGACTAATAATGTACATCTTGTTCAAATATTTTATAAGAAAAATGTAATATTAAATAATCAGAAATCCAACTCAAAAGTAATTGGCGATTAGAACCTTTTTGATTAATCAATTTTCTATGGATTCCCACTCCTTTCTAGATTTTTTTTTTTTTACTTTTTGTTGTAGGCCGTAAAAGTTTGCACTATATGCTGCCGACAAGCAAATATAGCATTCCTTCTATTTTTGTTTCTTCATTGGAAAAGATTTATCGATTTCATGGCATATGAACTTTCATGAGAAAACTACACAATAAAAATGTAACATTCCATAACTTCTTGTTTTTGGGTATTTAAATTATTCCACAATTCATAGCATCTCTGAATTTTCATTTCTGTAAATGTACATAAATTTGTATAGCTAGCAGTGTAAAATGACAAGGTGGATTTTGACGTGAAACGCTACTTAATTATGATTTAAATGTTGAATAAATCCCAGGTTAATTCTTAATCACAACCGATTAAGAATGTCACTAAGAAAGTCATTATTGCTTCTGTGACAAACCAAATAGTCAGAGAGTTTTGCACCATTGTGATTAATCCTCTGGACCATTTGTAGGGAGACACATATGGGGTGGTTATGAGTCCTGTCAAAATCATGGGTTTATAGTTTCAAAGTATCTTAGATTAATTAAGGTGTATTCTTAGCTTCATAATTATGGAATTCACATAATGGTGAGGTAAAATCAATATGCTGATTTCTAGAAGAGTCCATCAGCCGATTTTTCTTGAAAGTTGACTATGTTGATATTCCTCAAAAGTCATTTCCCAATTTTCCACCATACATCTATTTTTGGATGAATATGCTCTTAACTTTCTTCATACTTTCTATTCCACAAGATATGCAAACTTGATAACACTAGACAATAATGTCTTGCTTGGATCTCGTTTAAAAGAAGATTTGATTTAATGTCTTCAAACTTCAAACCATTTCTGTACCTCTACTAAAACCCTTGCTTATAATTAATGAAATGTCTTTCTTGTAAAGATCTGCATGCATCTGCATGACAATTGACAACTAGGCTTAGAGAACGAGGAGAAAAAAGCAGTAGTTTTATCCCTTTTCAGCTTTAAGTAAATTATTAGTAGGTTAGGATTATTGCCATTATATATATATATATATATATACACACACACATCATACATCTTGATTTCCATTAAAAACCTCCAACTGGAAGCTCCCAATCATGATGGAGCAAAGGCTGCCATTATTCCAGACTGTCATGAAATTCTTGAATTATATCTTTTGATCATATCACTTGCAACTTTAAGCATGAAAATTTTCTCAGTCACCTCCAAGTTTCTCTTTTTTCCCTCTGGTAAACACCTTTAAATTTCTCTAGTCCAAGGGAAATGAGACTATTTTTTCCCTCCCCCCCTCCCTTTCACAAGTATTAAAAACAAAAAAAAACCCTAAAGCATAGGATAAAAGGAAATTAATTAAGGAAAGAATTAGAGGAAAAAAAATAAGGTGAGGAGTGAGTTTTTATGCGTGCTTAAACAGCCAAAAGGAATGCATTTCGTAGTTGCATTGTAAGTTTTCCATTAGGTGATCACTTCTTTAACTGTACGATATTTGTTTTTTAGTCTCTGTTCCAAAAAAAAAAAAAAAAAACATTAAGAATATTATATATGTAGCCAAATATGCTTCTCATCATCCATATAAATACATGAGAAGAGGAGCAACAAAAAGTGCTGTAGTTTCCAATGCTAAGCCGTAATTAGTTCTCCAGAAGGAACCAGCGATTATTATTTATTAGAAAAGAGCCAAGGCAGAAACCCTTTCCTGATGCTAAACCAAGAAAAATTATCTTCCCAAAAGTTGAAAACCACAAAAACTCTGCATGCATGAATCAAGCATAACATTCTTGTTGCGCATTTCTTCGTGTTCATGAAATGAAATATTCATGGATAATATAGTCATGAAATAAAAGGTAACCTTTTCAGCTACACTTTCAGTACATTGCTGCAGATTGAAGTCACGATTTAACACTATGATCATTTTAACAACATTTAATTCTTCTATCAGTTGCATTCTTTCTCTCAACTAAACTGGAACACGTACATAATTAACTAGTACAACTCATTATCTACAACTTGTGCATGCAGATAATCTTGTTCGGGCAATGCATATATCAGGGAATTAATCGGGATGCAGGAAATATGTTTGGTTAGAACCTAGAATTTGGAAATGTAAGTGTTCTCATTATCATCAGTAATAAACCTTTTCAGAGTGGTTATAATTGCATCCCTCTGATCTAATTTCAGAGTACTGATCTCCTCCAGCTGAAAAGAAATCAATGAACGGCACACCAGTCTTTGTCTGATGATCATGCTCCAGTATTGATTCTTGTTCCACTTCCTCGTCTTCTTTTCTTGCAACATTGTCTATCACTTCACTTCTGTTAGAGTCAGCATTCACTTGAAGAAAATCATAAAACTCCACTGGTTCATTTTTATCTGCAATTGAATTTATAAAATCACCAAATAATGATCGAGTCTATTCACGGAAAAAAAGTCCTATAATGGAAAAGGATTTACAACTTGAATACCTTTATCACGGCTCATATTCATATCATGAATATGTTTTTGAGACAATAGCTCCTTTAGATATGGAGAACAAGTGCTAAATGTTAGAGGGTACTGATGAAGCCTTTGAGAGTAATTATTCTCAAAGAGTATTGGACTGAAGCTACATTTGATCTGATTACTACTTGCTTGCATGTCTTGCTTTGGCGACTCAGATTTCTGCTGATCAGTTCTTGATGCTTGAGCAGCTCTTTTTGCATACATTTTTGACCTCTCTCTGCATCTCCGAGCCATGATAACATGCCAATGATTCTTCACTGCATTATCAGTTCTACCAGGGAAAAGTCTAGCAATTATTGCCCATCGATTCCCATGTATACGATGAGATGCGAGGAGGAGTTCTTCTTCCTCTTCTGTGAAGGGGCTTCGATTGATTCTTGGATCTAACTGATTAAACCATCTCAACCTACAACTCTTCCCTGATCAAGAAATACACCTCGTAAGTTTTTTTTTTTTTTTTTTCAAATAAATTCTAACTTTTATTAGAACCAAAAGAGGTTACATGACAGAAAGACCTCGTAAGTTGATGATTGGTTTAATGTAATATTGAATAAGTGACGTATTTATCATTTAGAAAATAGATCCACTACACAAATTATAGTTGATGTTACATTACACCCTTGTAAACATGACATGCATAATATTTTATTTTATTTTTTTAGGTCTTAGAAAATAATTCCACTACACAAATAACATGTATCCTTAGAAATAAATACACTTAGCAAATTAATAGTTGGTTTTAGACACTTGCAAACCATGACAAGCACAATTGAACAACTTTCTTTTTTTTTTTTCTTGGGTTTTGCTAATTCAATATAGCAAATAGAGATATCTTGAGGCCGAATATATTGCATGGGGTTGAGATGAACATTCACCAGATCAAAGGTGAAATGTAACATTCAATGTATAGTACTCCTACAATTAGTAGATGAATTTACAATCCAATAATACATTACGTGCTTAAAGATTGATTCTTTGTCAAGAACTTTTTCCTCTCTCTCTTTTGTTCTTTTCCACTTAGCCCAACATATTACTGTTACACTTTCTTCATGAATGTCAAAACCCTAATCACTGTTCATGAGATGAAGCCTACCAGCAGTGTTCAACTCTACTTTTTCATTTCCTTCTTTACTTTTTTTTCGTTAACTGCCCTAAATTTTGCATCCATTTTTGGGAGGTTGGGGGATGTCAGGGGTGTAAGATGGTACAAGTGAATTAATAGAAGAAAAATAATTTGACTTGCTACAAAATGATTCTCACCTGATCTTCCTTGTAGCTTTTCAGCTATGGCGTTCCAATTATGAGGTCCATATTTTTCCACCAACTCTCGTAGCTTCTCATCCTCAGCAGGCCTCCAATGGCCCCTGCTACACATCTGGTTATCTGTTTATCACCAGTATGTATATGTGTGTGTATATATATATATATATAAGCCGCCAATTTTTATCCAGAAAGCACAGCAAGATAACCACCCATCCAGCTTTTATCAAGGTCTTTCCAAAATCCTTGTTTCTTCTAGCTATCTTTCTTGCTCTTTTTGATGTTGATGAACTAATATTGAAGTTAACAACTCCCCACCTCACCACCCCAAAAAACCGAAACTAACATACAACAAAAACAAATCACACAACACAAAGAGAACAATCGGATGATAACACGGTGATCAAGGGATAAAGCCTAAAGGATGCTCTTGAACAAATTTATGAGAGTTTGTTTCTTTTTCCCCTACCAAAAAAAAAAAAAAGGGATTTTAAGAAGAGAGGAAATAGTGTAAGGGGAAAAAAAGCCGATCCCAACAGAAGAATATAAATAAGGGGAAGATGAGAAGTGTTTTCCGTTAGAGAGTGGGAAGGTTTGGACAGACCTTCACCAGCGATTGATGCAACGTCTAGGCTAACTAATTAAAACTCACCCTTGAACTATAACTATATTCATATTCCTCTATATATGCCTCTCACCTTCTAAAACTGTAGTAGTCGTAGTATATATGGGGAGAGAAAATGAAAGATACATATGAGAGGGTTGCTTGGTGGGGTGATTTTGGTTCTTCTTTCAACGTCCTTCCAAAATTCTAACCTACAACTTCTACTTGTAACCCACCTAGCAGGAGAGAATTTTCTTTTCTTTCTAACCGTACATGCAACGTTATACTAACTTGTCTATTATATTATATTACCCCAACACCCCCCCCCCCCCCACAAAAAAAAAAAAAGGGAAAAAGGGTTAAAATTTTACATGCAACATCTGTATACTGTACAAAGAATTTCCTTCTTTCTTGTTCTAAGTTCTAACAACTTAAATGCCTACCAGGTTAATTTATGTATGGTTCAATGGCTGTTGACCACATTTGGGAAAATTTCCAACCTAAACCGTAAGCCTAACCAAACCTTGAACCCCAAATATGGATTGGAGTTTGTTAATTTCTTCCTTTGTCACATATATCAGGTGGGACAAAAGTATTTTTTTTTTTGTGCTGGATTAATTTATTATTATTGATGTGTACTTTTATAGTTGAAGGAAAGGTTGATATGCTAGTTAGACCATTTTGATAGGAATTAATGGTGTTTTAGGTCCTCATCACCTTTCTAGACCTAACTAATTAACAAAATTGGCTTACAATCTCAGAACTGCACGTGGAAACTAGTAGATTAAGAGATCCTTTAATTATTTCTTTCATCATTTAACAGTACGTTATATTGTTTTCATGATAAGCAAACATCAAATCTTTCGTTTTTAGGTTTTTTTAGTTGATGTTTGATCGAGCATCATTTACTATTTGATGCATGTCCCAACATGCATTTGTATAAATTGAAGTCTCCATTATTACACCTTTTTGCTCCCAAGTTGCATGATCCATACAAAACAAAAATTTTTGCTTAGGAACTTGGAAACATAGATCAACAACGTAACTTCTACATGGTTGGCTTGTTAACAACCTGGACCAAACTTTGCACCAATTTAGATAATTATTGTGAAAAGGCAACAATAATTACTCAAAGCAAAGAGTAATTAATGCCACTTTAATTAAACTACATTAGCTAGCCAGAACTCTCAATTAAAATGTTTCTTGCTGCACAGAGTTTTCTATGGAAAAATCACATGCATCTGCGTTTAATTTGCATTAAGTCCAAGATAGACATGTTTAATTAGAACTATATTTCAATATAACCTATTTGTTGTATAAATATTTTGGCTTCCTGCAAAAGTTATACAATAGATGCTGAATCATACATATATAGGCAATTTTCTTTTCTCTTTGTTTTCTTGGTAGAACCACTAATAATTGTTCGAGATTGTAAGACTCCTCGTCCATGTAAAACTTGATAAGTTTGAAGCTTTAGGACAGAAACAAAATAGTTATGTTTATATTTGATTTCTAGTGTCTAGGAGATAATAGCAACAGCATGAAGAAAATAGAAAAGAGGATGGTCCACAGTGTGAGATCAATTTGGTAGGACCTGAGGAGATGATTAATATAACAAGATGATATTTCATGAATTAGATGGATGAACTTTGATGTTCACGGAAATGGATATTTGGGTACACTATTCTCGAAATTGATTTAAAAAATGGGGATGGATCAACAGAGGCAATTTTCAGGGAAATGTCCCAATTGGAGTAATGGAAATGCAGTTTTCTATCCAAAAAAAAAAGAAAAAGAAACAAGAAACAAGAAAAAGGCAATTTCACAATGTTACAATTTGATTAATATGTTTAGAATATTTGAATTACTGGTAGATATACGTATAATATTTAATACTAGACACTGTAACCTTTCAGTTTAATAATGGAGCAAAATAAATGGTTGATTAAGAACATTCAACACCAAATAATTTGTATGATTGTTGTAATGAACTTTTTCTTCCAAGTGCTCCATCAGAACATTTTAAATTTAGCCAATTCATTTCACAATTGGGTTACCACAGAAACTGCTCACTATTCCTTTGAGAAACTTCATTTCACAAATATCTTTGTCCTATTAACCTATTTGGAGGGTAACTTTTTCACTTTAACTTATTTTTCATTGGAATAGTACATAATTATCTATGATTCTGATATTCCCAACCCCCCCCCCCCTTCTCTTAAATAAGAAGGAGAGGGGGACAGCAAAAGGAGAATGAAGATGTTGAGAATCAAATCCCTCATTTAATGACAGGATAGAAAATTGTTAGGTGCTGGACTACATCTATATTTATTATACAAATATTTGTTTGTTACTTCCCCACTACAAATTTAAACAAGCAAAAAGAGAAAAAGAAAATATACCATTGAATTATTGATTATTTATTTTTTGGATCAAACATAACGAACATATCTTCTGTCATTGACAGTTGACTTGTCATAGACTATACAATGAAGAAATTCAACTGCAATCTAACATCCAAATACTGCATACCTAAGAGAACTCCTGCAGACTTTTCCAACATTTAGACAGTAAAAAATAGACTTCTCTGTTGACTGTTGGCCTACCATTTCCCCTAAACTTCCTCAGATAAACTGTTTGCTTGTTTAAAAAGGGATACCCAAAGCCTTCTTCATTTTTCACCCACCATTTGTACAAACCAGACAACTGCACCTCATGATACTGGTAACTGTCACTACTAACCTTAGCCATTTTCTTCAACTAACAAACCTTCTCTCCATTTCTTCCCCCATCCCTCGTTGTTAGTAATTTTGGTCTGACTATTCAACATCTTAAACATAATTAATGGCATTTTTTCAGTGAAAACTGACATTAAAAGCCAAATATTCTGTTCTCTTACTTTCATAGAATATATTACAAATGCACGCGAGTTTGTTTTTTTGGCATAGCAGCCTAAAACCAATGGCTCTTAAGGTATGTAGATCATTCGCAGCATTTCATGTACGCATGCAGTTTTGGATGACTGCTCAACAGCTTTACCTAATTCTCTTCCGATCATCAGCTAATTTTCCTGTACCAACCAGAAATATTAACTGTTTGATTGCTTCCAAAACACACACACAAACAGAGGAGACGTTAATACGTTATTCTTTGCCATTGTTTGAATATACATATATATATATATAGGATTTGCGATCAAGGAAAGAATTGAAGTAGAACTAGGAACTTCTTCTGTCATGGAATCGGAAGTTCATATAACGTGGATCGCTGGTTGCATAGCAACTCCTCACTCTTTCTGCATATTCCAAATTTAGCTGATGGGTTGGATTCCTTCATGGACATGATAAGGATTCTCCAACTTAACCACAAAGCCTACTTCTCTGATTTTTATTCCACTACTAATCTTCCTGGTGACAACTGACAACAGGCCAGCTCCTTTAATTAGGCACAATACTGGGGTTACGAGCATCTGTAACCTCCTAAGATATGGCAAAAACCTGCTAAACTCCAGGTGATTGAAACCAAGATAGGAAAAGTCATAGTGGTATCCGAAACACTTGAGATAATTAAATGCCTTGGATAGGGTTAGCTTGGTTCTTCAATAATGTCTAATTAGTTCATTAGATTGGACTTTGGTGGACATAAGCTTGTTTGATGATTGTTAGAAGTGTTTGTCAGTATATCTGATTTGACTAATGTTTGCCAAAATCTGGTTTTAAGGTTTCTGAGACGAGAAGTCTTCTGAACTTCTCAACTGCAAAACTGCTGAAAGCTAACAGCCTAACCATCTGAGAATTACGGACTTAGGCTTTCCTAGGATCAACTTAGATGTACACCTAACCTTAATATATACACCAACCTGACCTAATGATACTGCCAATTAGACCAATTCTGCTTTGTTAGAAACTTGTTGGTTTTGGTCAAAATACCATCAATTACAACTGTGTACATTCTAATTTCATGCTCCGTGTCATTTCATTAAATTCTTGCACGATACAAGGATATTCAAAATTGATCTACCGCAAAGAATTGGAGGCTAACAAAACAAGACACTAGCATAGAAATACAATGTCCTTGGAGTGTAACTTACTTTTAAGATTGTGGACATTAGGTAGAGGATAAAGATGTTAGCGTCATTATTGACATAAATACATTTGTTTACACTTTACATCGATATTTATACAGCCCTTGATGGCATCTAACACCTTTGTCTTATTATATTAGATCATAGATGCCTTTTCCATATGTTTTATGTAGAAAATGACCCTCCCTTTTTTTTCCTTGTGGATTGGGAGTAGAAGTCGCACATAATAAGCTTTGTTGACTAAACATGGTAGGCAAGATATGCTTCGTAAAAGCATTCTTGTCAAATTCGAGGTTAAAGAGAAAACCATCACACATATGATGGAGATAATCAAAGTTTCCAAGCACTTAGCAAGATGTCATCTCATAAAATTCAAACTAATACTAATGCAAACCTCAAAAGTTGAATGATGAAAAACTTAATTTTGACCAATGGCACAAGTAGTAGTTACAATCAAAATTGATAGCACTGAGAACAGAGGCACTAAAGTCCATTTCTTTCGGCTCAAGTGTAGATTGATATCAGGGTAACAATTTCACCAAGTCCAAAAGGACTGTTACACATTGTCGGCATTAGATTTGATTGATTGGGCACAATTCCCTCATAAGTATCACACCTCAGCTAAATGCATATAGGAAACCTAACGATTCTTTAACACTACGCAAGACTATCGATTGTGACAGTCACCAAAGAAAGTCCACTAACAGAAATAGCTTCTACTTTTCAATCTTGGAATTCCGTGCTAGGGTTTGAAGTGGTCTATTGCTTGCCACAACTCATGCCATATATCCAGGAAGCTGATTATGATACTTCTGCACACAGTAGAAGAATTGTCCTAAAGTGCAGATAGAATTTAACAAGTTTTGAGTCCAATGTGCAGTTGAACATAATTTTATGTTTCTTAACAGGATATCGAGTCTGAAAAAGAAACCCTTTGATTTGATCGTGTATGTGAGTTCTTCTTCTTAATGAGCAGCAACATCTGATTTTACTAAAGTTAAGCGCTTCTTGTTTTCTTAAGGTGAATTTTGTGTTATTGCTGCCCTTGTCCAATAACCCCGGATGAGGAAATCTAGTGAGGAGTCCCAAAATTTTCAAGCTCAGACTGGTTTTGCATTGGAAAGAGTGTGCCGAACGTCAAAGTGAAGTGCGCAAGTTTCTCTGAGGCCAAACCAGGTGATGTTGTTTTTCACTCAGCCAATGCTACAATACAAGATAGATTATTTCCTTCAGGATTTTTTCGTTTGGTTTTTCTCCTATGCTCATGAAACATTTTGGTCTCAAAGTCTCGACTTAAGGGAAACTGTTTCGATCAAGGACAGTGACGGATGCAGAATTTTTAAGTTAGGGGGACGAACAGTCGAGCAGGGAATAACCAAAAAAAAAAAAAAACGTAACAAATGAAGCACACTAAAAGTAAATATCCAATTAATTAACTAATTAATAATTTTTTAATAATAAAAGACATCATATAAAGCAAAACTTGAAAATAAGACTTGTCTTTAGGAAAATTGAATATTTGAGATGAGTTAGATGTTTTTACTTGTATGGTTCTTTTTTAATTCGAGTATAGAATGTCACAATTCAGGGGTGCAATAAATGTGAATATATGTATTTATATACTGTAGTAATTTAGGTTGAATCACGTGTCTAAAAGTACCCCTTAATGGGGCATTCATTAGAAAAATTCATAATATACACTGTCAGTGTATGCACTATTAGGATTGGACGGATGATATATAAACAAATTTTGAATTTCAAAATTAAATTTTGCACATGTGTCATATATTTAATGGTGATAGTGTATGCACTAACAGTGTATATAAAATTAATCCAAAAAGAAATCCATAAAAAGAGATTAAGAGTTTGTTTATATTATGAACTTACATAAAGAGAGAAATTAGTGTTTACTTAAGGTTATATTTGAAACTTAACTTATTAAGATTAAAGTTGTAGCAATGGCAAATTACAAGCAATTGTAAGTTGCTTTTAACACACGGAAAGTAGAGTTATTGTGGAATACTTATGAATGAGTAATTAAAGAAACTGATCAATGCAGCTAACGACCTGGGGGCAAAGTGATAGAGTTCTAATTAAAGTTAAAATTCTATGGGAAGTTTTTGGAAAGTTTTGGGGGGCGGGGCCCCCTCTGTGTCCATCGTTAACCAAGGACGCACAGAAGAAGAAGGGTCATCTTTGAAAATTACTTACCACATCGAAATCAAAAGAACTGCAGTTAAGTTAGGTTCTGAAAGCGTGGTTTTTTTATATGAATCAATGAGAAGACGTGATTGTTTTGATATGAATCAATGTCAAACCTTTTCGTGTAAATACTCGAACCCAACATAATATGATGCTAGTGGATTTGTGCCTCGCCTGAGGCGCCAGCATGCTCGGATTTAGACTCAAATATGGAATATTCTTTTTTTTTTTTTTTTGCCGCATCGATAACAATTGTATAACTTATTCTAACCTGATTTAAGGGAAGAGGAAATATAATCAACGAAAAACCTGTCAGAAAAAGGCATCCAAAGGTGACAGCCACAATTAAGTGACAAATATAATAAGAGGCAAGGTTGAATCCTTACCAACAACTCAAGAGAACATTGGACTCAGATATGGAATATTCACATATATTCATATTCATGCACTATGAATATTTACTTCATAGTGAGTAATTGACGCGACATTCAATTTATGAACAAATAATTTAACAGTAAAGGTCAATGATAGTTTTTTATATTAAATTTATGAGCAAATAAGTAACTAATTGATATTAAGTGTACTTAATGTTAGAAGTCAACACTAACCGCATAAATTTAAAAAGAAATAGATTAAAAGACATAAACAGCACTATAAATTAATGCTGACCAGCATCCGCTACATGGAATTGATCATTGACGTGAAATTACGATGCTGCCCACACAATCACGGTGCCAATAAAGGACCAAATTCACTCTGTCGATTTCCTCGTTCGCACTTTTATATCCTTACCAGGATATTTGTGGCGCCATTAGAAATCACTCTCTATTTGCTACTTTTCTCTCTTCCCACCTAGCAACCAACCCCCTCCACCTGAAGGCCGCGTCCTCGCATAAACAGTCTGTCTAAGATGCCCCTGCTCTCATTCCATTGACCATCTCTCAAAGTCAAACACCTTGCTTTCCGACATGGAACCGATCCTTTCCTACCCCATTTAGCCCACTTCTCCATCACGAAATATTTGGTTACACCCTGATTTGATTGCAATTAATTGAACTAAAATCAAGGGTCATCAATTACAACTTTACATGAAAATTATCCTACAGATTACAACATACAGACCTTGAAAGACTTCTAAAATGAAGCGGATCCTTCACCAAATAAAAAATCAACAGGATGATGTCTCAACACGCCCTGTTGTTGGCCAAAAAAGTTGACGTTTACAAAGCTGACAGTTCAACTTCACGAGTGCAGGGCCGATAGGCGACAAAGGTGTTATCATTAGAGAAAGAACCAGGATTAAAGCATGTGATTCCTGTGTACTTGAAAGCCTTTTGCTCACTTCTGTCTCCCAAGACTATCTGTTACAGAATGCGATCAATGAAATCAGAACTGTAAAGTTCGCAATGATACAAAATACGCGACCGGAATATTTTCACACTCATTGTCAGCAATTTGTTGAAACATCAAAAAGACACTTGGCACAGTTCTAATAAACTCAGATTCACATCTCTGTAGTAATATCAAAATAAGTTGGAAGCTTTGTTATTAAGGCAAGCCAGCAAAGGCTCCCGCCATAACCAAGTCCGAAAAGGCCAGTGAATGCAACTAGATCAGGATGAGTAGAGAGGAAAGGTAAGCTCAATGAAAATACTTAAATGTTCCAATATTCCAGAAGATGTCTTTCACAAAGACACGAGAGATTTACATGACTCCAAACATAGAGAAGTTAGTATATCTGTGGGAGTGTTCGTACATGTTTTACATATAAACAATAACTATTGAAATCTCAATAAGAATATGCAATGTTTGTGCTCGAGAAGCTAAGCCTTTCCCAAACAGAATCTACAATGTATATTGCATCTGCACAGATAACAATCACATGCAGGTTTTGGTTGGCGAGACATTCTGTCTCTAACAATATCAAAGGTTTTCAGTCAAGCTTCACCGTCAACCATGAATAGAATTCTTGAAACATAGGCAGTCTCATTTAGTATTCATAAGGTAAAAGCTAAAACGCTTCTTATCAAATTGACTTGGCAAAGAAACCAGATGGTAATCTATATAAAAGTCAAGATAAAAGAATCAGCATACCGTATGTGGGGTAGGATAGAGATGTAGACTGTGATCATAATTCCAGATAATTGGTTGTACACTCAGAGGTAGGGGACAAAGGTGACTTTGATGTGTGATTGTAGCCACAAGCTGCCAAAAAATAATAATAATAAATGGAGAATACTGAGATTCAAGGTACAACTATATCAGCCAGGAATATGGCCAGGATGTTTGCACTCCCACTTGAACGAAAACAGCCCGCGTGCAGAATGCGGTAGAATGGAAGGAGTTGAGTTATTGAGTACACTCCACAACAACCTACAGTATGTTATGATAAGTACACTCACATGCTCAAAAGGATCACTTGTTTCTTCTGTTGAAGGGGGCATGAGACAAGATCTACGCATCCTATAAAGCAGATCTTGGCGGAAAAATACAATTTCTTGTGTATAGAACTTGATTCTGGATTGACACAATTTAGACAAAAGACGTGTCAGTGTAACCGGTGGATTCCAGAGTTGAAAGCAAAGACTGAATCTTAAGGAATACGGAGCAGGGGCTATCCAAACCCATATATAAAATGAACTCAAGCAGCCAATACACGGAGGAAGCTGTCAAATGCACCTATCCTCAAAATTTACCTGCAAGGATTAGTAGAGAAAATTGCATTTGGAATGTGTTTCTGAAGTTCTTCGGTTATGTACTTTGGCAAAGGACATCTAGGTAAAACAGTTGAGGGACCTGGAAAAACAAAGATAACGTCTCATTTTGCAGAATTTACACAGATGAACGATGGAGATACTTTGACTATCTTCTCAACTTACCGACATCATCTGGACCAGGAATAAAAAGAAATCTACTTTGTTCCATTAGTCTTTGGTGGGTAGCAATCGCTTGCCCTAACTTTCCAAACTGCAACCTGCAAGTATGGTTGTGTTTTGATCCTTAGGTTCATTCTAGTACTCATAAGAGCTAAAACAATAAAATTAAAGAAAACCATAGCTGGTCCCCCACCTGAGACTTGAGAAAGAATTGAAAGAAAGATTACAAGGACGAGAGCAGAAATTTCCCATGAAAACAAAAAGAGAAGGAACCACGTCCACATTCTCGTAACCATCGAGGACTGTCTCCAAATTTGCCATGGTCTTCTCTAAGATAAGAGAATAGCCAGGTTAAACAGTGCTTTTTTTCCCTATCTTTTTTGGGGGTGCATAGCAGTGATATTTTTAAGACCAGCAATTAATAAGAGTTAAGGCACGTGTACCTCCTCATTGTCCAGCCAAATGTCAGAAAGTATAACAAACATGTCATTCACCGCCCTACTCTCCAACTCTGAAAGTCTCAGCTGTTTCCATAATTAGGGAAATACAAATATCTAGCAATCATGATCAGTTATTTATCAAGTATTATCAAATCTAAAGGATACTGTTTCCTCTTTAGTAAGTATACCACCACCAAAGAAGTCCACACCACTAAAATAGCTGAAAGACTTTTCTCTATCCTCTAAAGGAGGAAATCCACATGTTTTAACCTGCAAAACACAGTTGAAAATCAGGCTACTAATCAGGAATTCAACCAATGCCACACCTAATCCCGTCCCTAAACAAAAATGAAGAACAAGTATCGAAAGTCAAATTTGCTAGTTAGTGAACTATAAACCATTCGTTAAATTTGTAGACAGTTAAAGTGCGAAGTGGTTGTCAATGTTCTATGGCAAGGCTTCAAAAGTTCAAATCTAAATCTTATTGATCTTCTTTGGGCTTTAATCAAGTATTCAATTGGCAAGGACCCAATCCCACTACCTTTCTGATTAGTACACATAATCCAGTCACCATATGCAGCTGTAACAAGTCTGACTTCAAAGCTATCATAGCTTCCTGCTCAAGCTCATTTGTAACCTCGTATATTTTTGTTTTTGAATAAAATCCTGTGTCCTTAGGTTATACTTTACTTTTTAAAATGTAAAAATTAAATTCAAGTGTGCTTATGCCTCACCCTAATTATTTTTTAAAAAAAACTCTACAAATATATTTCCCTTCTCCACCTTCGAGGAAACATAAAAAGAAAGAAAATGACAAAGAAAGGAAACACATTCCCCTTCTTGAACAATAGGAGAGAGCTATAGTTGTCATCTGCAGATTCAACAGCAAAGAACAATGAAACTCATTCATTTATCTTTTAGTTGGTGGAAGCCAATAGAACTGAATAATTGAAGAAAACATATTCCTAAGTCCAAAAGTCCTAATCAGGAACTTAAAGAGGAAAAAAAAAGGTGACCAGTAGGACAAGTATATGCTGAATCGTATACCAACAATGTCTGCAAGATCTCAAAATTGATGAGGTTGGAATGGTGTCTGGAAAGCAAAATTCAGAAAGAGTTTTAGTCCATAAACAAGAAACAAAGCAAATGCAAACCTGAAAAACACCATCCAAGAGCATCTCGCCTTCTGCTAAAACAATCGTGTTTTCTGAGAAGAACCCTGTAGTTATTTTGTACTGTTTTGTCAAAGAAAACAAGCATCCTAGGAAACCTTTTGTGGCTTTATGCACAAAAAAGGATCATAAGATTTCAGCTAGCAACAAGCGAACTAAAAGCTGACTATTTAGCTGTTGCAGTAGGTTTAACAGTCCAGAACGTAAAAAGATGCATAAGAACTTAAAGAACATTACTTGTTCAGGCAGAATGATGGCACCACATCAAATGATTCAGCAAAAACACTTTACAAGAAGTTTACTTTTTCGATAAGGAAAACCAAAAAAAAAAATTAGAGATGAAAATCAACCAATGGTAGAAAACCGCACTAACTGAAGTCTGGCAATCAAAAGGCATATATGACATAAACAGGTGCATAAAAAATAAAAATAAAAAAAAATAATAAAGAACAGTCTCTGGCAGAAGACCAAAAAGGTACAAAATTTGCATATTTCAGAAGAGAAAACCATTTTCAACCATATGACAGCCATGTATCCAAGCAACTAATGTTGTTTTAATTAATAAAGGATATTGCGTTAGATAAGTCAACTTCAACAGCAGCATTTAGATCTTCCAGGTAGAAGTGCCCATCTTCTAGCTGAGATATTAAACCCATGATCCACCTCCTCCCTATTTGCCCAACCAAAGATTGAATTGGAGATATCTATCACCATTTTATAAGATTAGAATTTAGCATTCGAGTATTCAATTAGAGAGAAATAGGCCTACTATTTACATATGTTTGCATCAGTATGCAAGAGAATTTAGGAGAATGTACCTCACAGCTCCCATAGTCAGAGAAGTCAGAACCAAAATTTGGCCTAGAAAAATGGGGATCACGAGAAAGTCTCTGGAACAACAAGAGAAACCTATCCCTATAGAGAGCCGCTTTGGCAGAAGCATCGCCATGAATTGGATTTTGGCCTGTATGTCTACAACCCCAAAAAAAAACAGAGAGAGATTATTACCAGCAATAGCATATTAGGCTCATCAATTTAGTGAATAAAATTGAATGACAATTAATTGATTCCCTCAAAGTTCTTCTTGTCCTACTAAATTTTAATGATCAATCATCAGTTTTCCATCAGTACTTCACTCCTTGCACTCATGTTAACTAAACCATACGAAAGTGTCTCCTTTACACATATCTTTCTTTAATTCATGACCACTACATAAAATCCACATTTTTAGTTTTCTAAAACAAATAAGCCGAACAGTCCATAACTTTTTCGATCGCCCCATCCCTTAAACAGCTAAACAATCTATTTTGCATCAAATTCTCATCTCTTATCTATATATCATCAATAACTCAACATGAAATCATCAAACATAAACATAATAAAAGGCAGGATTTAAACTCCGGCCAAAAAAAAATGTCCAGAATTGCTCCAGAAAAGGGCATTTTTCATTGTTTCACCCAATCTACTCTCTGCTGCATTCAGATTATCTCAAGTATTCTTTAAAGCAAAAAAAATATTCATTTTGACCAAAAGAAAGAACCAAAAATCAAAAAGTTTTCGCCGGCCAAAAAGGATATATTTTCTTACTCGTAGAAAATCTTCTTAACAGGATCATAACGAAATTTTGGAATATCGAAAGCATTAATAACTCGAAGAGCAGAGCCTCCAACGCCCAGAGTAGCACTGTTGGGGTTTTCCTCAACAGCGGCTTCAGCTTCTAGTAAAAGGGTCACCACTTTATTCACCGCCTCTTTATCCAAAATCGACGATTTCACTGCCAAATCCATCAAACCAACATTAAATAAACATTCATCAATTAATCAACTAATTAATTACTTCAAGAAATTCAGAATTTCTTTTTTTTTTCCTGCCTGCGACTTACGAGAGAGGTGGTGGAGCTCATCGAGGAGGAGGTCAATGGCGTCGTCTTCGGCATCGGGGAAGCGGTTGACAAAGGAGAGGATTTCAGCTAGGGCTTCCAATTTTATTGTGTAGCCTCTCATCTTAAATTTTCTCTGCACTTTGCTTTTCAATACGGTGCTCATTATATTGTCTTTTTGCAAATTCTTTCTGGATTTTCAGTGAAATGTTTCTGGATTTGTTCTGAGATGGAAATGGAGGATTGCCACTCTATTATCAGTGTGTGACTGCGTGTGAATGACGGAGGGAGAGATGAAACCCTGGATTTAGATATTGGGTCCGCCGGGGAGGGAAAATGGCGGGAATGCAAATTCTATGCCTCATTTGCACATTACCCCCTATAGTTTCTATCCCATCATCAATGCATCCCCTTACTTTACGGTCTACACTTTATACTACTTACCACTTACTCATATTCAAATTGTTTATACAAGAATATTTTTTTGTTTCAAGCAATATATATTTGCATTAAAGTACGCGTGTGATCAACAATGATCACACTATCATAGACCAATTCCTTATTAAAAAAATCTGAATAATTTGATATTTTTATTTGTTCATTAGAGGATATGAATGTGCTACTGAATTTTTTTTAAAAATTTTGTTAAGCCAGTAACAAAAGTCCCTAGATAATAGTTTGTTTTTGCTTTTTCACTTTACATCAACAGAAAGAAGTTGATTGATTAAATAACGTCTAAGCATTTCATATAAAGATTTGATAGTTTAAGTACCAAATATAAACTTTTGCAAAAACTTATGGACTCCTAAGATAATTTACCCAAGTTTTGGTGCTACTATGAGTAGTGCTGTAAGTTTGGTCGGTCTACTGTAATTATCAATGTTTCATATAATGACAACCCTCGTTAAGTAGTTTATAAGATAATTGGAAGGTTTAAGAGAGTAGTGACTAAATAGTTGTCATCTTCCAACTCCATAAAGGATGAAAATCAGGCATCATATGTGTTTTACCTCGGTGTAAATATGGCAATTAGAACAAGAATTTGCATTTAAATTTTGAATTATGCATTAGAATTTTATTAGCATCACAAAAGATAGAAAGCAATTGTTACTATACACTGTCAGTATATAGAATATTAATTCATATCTATATATACATAGAGGTTAATATTTGTCAAGTATTGCTCTGATAAATGATGGCTAGAGCTAAAGTTGAAACCTCAAACTATAAGCACACAGGCAAGTCAAAAAGTTGATGATAGAAACAGATACATAATGATAAGAAATTTATACATAGCAATTCTTCTCATGTCCAGAGAAAAAGTATTCATACTCAGAAGATAGGCCGCATAATCAGTCAAACACAAACAGCAAAAAGCACACATAAAAGACGAAAAGTTTGGCAGAGAAAGATCATCCGAGTGCACTAGCAGACTCCACTGGTTTTCTTGTTTGATATCCTCCTCCAGTAGCTGGCTATTTCTCTTAAGTGATGATTATCAGGCTTAATTCCTTCAGTTTCATTTGCAACAGCGGTTACATGATCAATTTTAGTTGATACTCGCGGTGGTAGAGCTTCCAACTCCTTGTGATCAATTTTAGTTGATACTCGTGGTGGTAGAGCATCCAACTCCTTGAGAACCTTCTCAATATCAGAGACAAGTCTCTCTGCAAGGCTGAAATTGAAGTCTTCGCGAATTACAACTCGAAGCACGGCAATGTGTTCCGCATTTGCAGGCATTGTGTAGGCTGGAACGATCCATCCAAACCTTCTCAAAGATTCTGCTACTTGGAAAACTGTGTATCTGCTGCTGTCTTTCAGGGAGAAGGCCACTAATGGAACCCCAACATCTTTCGAGACAATGTCAAACCGGCCTGTCTTTACTAATCCTTCTTTGAGTGCCTTTGCATTCTCCATGCAGTTTACCATGATGTTCCTGTAGCCCTGAAAGAAGTATCAATGAACAAGAAGATAAAAAGTGAGAGAACTGAAATGGAAGTTTTTCTACCTTAAGGTGGACCGACATGTAAGGCAGATTACATGCGCTACCTCATCAGCTATATCCACGCAGAAACTAAAGGTATCACTTCAAAGATGGAACATACACACTCATTTGGTAGGAAATAGGATGCGAACCACCAACAGATACTCGAGCACAACTTATGATAAACTCGTAAAAGTTAAAACGTAAATCTCCGAATGAAAAACAATGCAATTATGTGACAGAGATAATGTACTTTGATTATTCTTTATAGTGCACTCCACGACAATCTTCCATGTCTCAAAACAAGCCATATCATTACTAAAGTTACCTCACAGCCAAGTCTTATAAACTGATAGTACTGGGCAATTATTTGGCTGGATCCTGCCAGAATGAAAGAAAAATGAATTATACAAATTTTACATGGAAACAGAATAGGCAACAAACAACCTATTATCATCAGGAGACTGATATGCCCCCATGTTGATTAATAGAAGACCAATGCATACGTCATAAATTAGTCCAAGTATAACTACATAAATACTCGATGCATTATGATAGAAGAAAAGACCTGGTTCTTTCCTGATAAAACATGTGAAACACAGATGTTACCTTTAGAGAAATTGAGAGTAAATGTAGGTTGATCAGATCCAAGGTAGTTGATATGAAACACAAGCTCTTCTGGCAAATCCTCCTTGCTTCGCCAAACTACCCACCCAACACCTGCATATACAAGGCCATACTTGTGGCCACTGACGTTGATGCTTTTCACCAGTGGTAAACGGAAATCCCACTCAAGGTCAGGGTAAAGGAACGGAGCAATAAACCCTCCACTGGCAGCATCTACATGGATCGGTGTGTCCCACCCAGTTTCTTTGTTTTTCTCGGTTAGGAGTTCGTTAAGGAGCTTAACATTCTCAAATTCACCAGTAAGTGTAGATCCCAAAATAGCTGCAACGCATATAGTGTTCTCATCCACCATCTCCACAGCTTCTTTAGGATCCATCACATAGTATCCTTCCTTTAATTTCACCTCCTTCAATTCAACTTCAAAGTACCTTGCAAATTTCTCCCAGCAAACCTACCCAGCATATATATTTTTAGAAAAGAAGATAGCTAACAAGCATTGGTTCTTAATATATACCCTGTGCTTCTATTGTGTTTTCTTATGTGCTGTGCCTCTATTGTTATTTATTTTTTCATCGTCTTCTAGTGGAGCAGATCAAGCATCATATGTTTTGCATGAAACGCCAAATTAAAAACATCAGGAAGATAAAATCATTCGCCTCTGTTGTTAGCTATTCTTTTAATTCAGGAAATAATAGCAATACATTTTTTTTAATGAGATGAAAGATTCTAATCTTTGTGCAGGCATGAAGAAATGCATACACAACAATTATTATTCTCATTTATTTAGTTTCTTAATTCCAAGCTTATTGCTTGCTTCAGTGGTTATGCTCATATTAGATCTACGATTTGTGACTCTATGCAAGAAGAAAATGAAGAGATACAAGCACAAATGTGAGCCACAAAATTAACTTAACCTTTCAATGCGAGCTTGTTCAAGATTAGAGAAATGCAGACTCAGTCCATCTCACAATAAAACGATGGTATTATTACATAGCCAAGAAAACAGTTGTTTACACAAATGAGCAAATTAATTATATCAATAGGAGCAATTCTACAAGCAAGCTAATTAGATTACCTGCACATTTGCCCCAGTAACAATGTTAGGTTTGTCATAAGGTTTGCCCTCAGCCTTTCTTTTGGCCTGCCACTTCCTTTTAAAAGCAAGACCTGCAAGCATTATTGCCTCCGATGATCCAACTGTGCCCACACCAATTGCTGTTTCATCATCTCCAACAGGGGCATTAAAGAGATGAGCTATCATATTGACACACCGATTCTGCAAGATCAGCAATCCTTTAATCCTTGGAAAGTGAGAGAAGCATAAAAATTTTACAAGTGGTCGAGTAACTCAAAAATCAGCAAATAAGGAAACAAATTAGGCGCCAGTCATCAAGTGGATATAATGTTGAGGTCTTCATAAATCTCCTAAATCTTCTCCACTGAGATAGTCTTAACCACGAGAAACAGTTTCCAAATTAAAGACATAAACTTTGTGGTAACTTCTAAATGAGCAGAGCAGCAAGAGTTTCTTCAACTAATACTTCAAGCTCTCCATTTCATAAGATAATATAAATATTGAAACAAGGTAAAAGAACAAGCAACATTCTTCCAGGTTTGGTCAAGGATAAGAATAATAAGCATGCTACTTTACACTGGTCCATTCTCCATTTCTAATTATTATACTATCTTTCATAAAACAAATATCACATAAATGTAGAATAATCCTAGAGGTCTTGTGCTGAAAATCTATAAGAACCTAGAGATAGTTTAAGAACAATCGCAGTGAAGTAGTAGGAAAAAATGGAACCACAAGCTAATTGTTGACTGTCCAAATCCAGATAGTGTGGAAAATGAGGGACCTAGAGAGTCCTCATCTGGAGGCCCCTTGGATTGGTGTGACATACTCTAACATGCAGGGACCCCAAACATATATTCTGGTGTTTGTGTCACCAATCCAAGGGGAATTTCTCATGATTCCCTAGGCTTGAATTCAGGAAAAGGAAACTTGAGACTAATTTGCTTTAGTTTGATTAAGCAATGGTGAAATAGCTCTTGACTGAAGCCAAAGGGAACATGATTTTTTGACAACAGAAAAAAGAACATGGATGTGATAGGGATTAGAAAACACTGGTCGAGTTATTCCCCAAGGAAGCTATAGAATATCACCTGTACCCCTAGTCGAAAGAGGTCTACCTACAGTTTGTATTTATTAAACACTGTTGTAGACCCTAGGGTGAAGGGGACTTTCAACTTGGGACAGTCCAATGGAAGATATTGTATGGACTCATTCACTGGCCTCCATATATTACGGTAAAACACAATGGCATGTTGCAATTCACATCAAAAGAAACAGAAATTCCATTGAGCAATCCGCTTTTGTTCTTCTATGAATTCGAGGAGTCCCTAAAAGTTTCACAAATAGGGAAAACAAAAACAGTACTTAGATGAAAAGTATAAAATACAGATATCGACTCTAATAAAAAAGCCTGCTTAAGTATCAGTATATTGGTTCTCAGACAAGTTGAGAGCATCAAAACCATTTTTGATTGATCAAAACAAGTCAAACTAAGGAGAAAGATGGATGAAGATGAACCTGGAGTTCAGTGGTGACAGGGTATTCATCCATGTCAACATAATTCTTGTTGATGGAGTCCATCA